CCAGACTGGCCTTTCGGCCTACCATCGGATCCCTTGGGCTTCTTCCCCGAAGCCCCCGTCGTCAGCCCCTCCGCTGCCTTCCTTTTCCGGATGTGCTCCATATCAATCTCCCTGGAAATCATGGAATCCAGGGTAGGGCAAGCTGAGAAACTGACATGCTCCTGGATGTCAGCTCGTAACATATCATGGTAGCGGGTCCTCCTCATGTCCTCATCACCCGCATACTGGGGCACCAACAATGCTCTCTCCCGGAACTTGGCGGTGATCTCCGCCACAGTCTCCGTAGTCTGTCTCATGTCCAAGAAATCCCTGGCCAGCTGCTGAAGCTCCACAGTTGGCGCAAACTCCGCCCTGAATCTGGTCACAAAGTCTGACCAGGTCATAGCCTCAACAACCGAGGCTCCCAATGAGTCACCAACAGACTCCCACCAATCTCTAGCTCTGTCTCTCAAACATCCTGCTGCATATCTCACCTTCGACCCCTCGGGGCAGAAGCTGGTCAGCTGCGCAGACTCGATGTCTGCGATCCATCTCCTAGCAGCAATGGGGTCTTTCACCCCATAGAAATCTGGCGCACCACTCCCACGGAAGTCCTTAAAGGACAGTGTGCGCGTACTCGTCTGGCTAGACGCCATATCACTCCTGAATGCCCGGAGGCGATCCTCCATCAGCTCAACAATCCCTTCCTTGATCGACCCGAAAATAACCGACGTCGCATCAAGGATACCCCTCGTGATCTCGGACGCGATGAACTCGCGTAACCCATCATCAACCTGCTCGGATCCTGCACCCGAGCCTGATCCTGATCCTGATCTGGAACCTCCTGCTCCATGTCGTGTGGTCACCATGCTGAAAATACACGCATAAATGTCAGGATCATACATACTTCCGAGAGGCCTAACACACTCTCCAAGGTTCCCGATTCCATCTAGGCCCTCCTTGATTCGAGTACGGGTCCTCTGCTTTCGGTAGTACGGGCCCATACTACCTTCCACATCTACCCGTACTTTCCCTAAGGATTGCTTCGACTTCACCAAGTCCCTTTTACCGATACCCTTTCCACTGACCTCATCCTAGGCTTCCCTAGGGCACTCTCCGACCTACCCTCCGCCATCAGCTGCACTAGGAGTCCCCACCACTTCTCCCTAACTAACTTGCGGATACTGTTACACATCCGTTTATTAGCTAGTTGAAAATGGCCAGAACCCCCATAGCACAAAGCAAACAACATTCATGCATTGGGTAACCAATCAGGCATAACCTACACAGGTCATCCTACTGCTGACTAAACAGTCCTAGCATACAGCTCATACAACAGGCATATAAGGCATCCTTCCTAGATCCTTAGCCTTAACTAGCATGTAATTCTCAGAATCATATATCAGGCACACAAGGCATCCTCCTAGATCCTTAGTCCTATTCTAGCATGCAGTTTTCTGAATCAAAACCATATAGCATAACATATCAAGTATGGGTATCTTGGGGAAAACTTACTTGAGCCCGGCCGGTCGCATGCATCACACACTTCGTCTTTCTTAAAATCCTTCCATTTAGATTTTAGAAAACCATTTTTCCTTGTAAAAACCTTTTAGCCCCTCAGTTTGAGTCCAGACACCCCCGAGGGTGTGTCCGAATCCCTCAGACCAGGGCTCTGATACCAACTTGTAACATCCCAATTTTCAGGTCCAAAAATTTCTTTTTAATTAACCAACACATAAAAACATTCATAAGAAAATACTGTGAAAACACATCATCTCATAAAACAATGTATCATGTCTGAAAACCCAAGCCATAGAATAATAACATATCATAGTACAATCCTAGAAAACTCCATGCGGAAATCATATGTGTGTGTGATGCGATGCTACGCCGCCGACTCCTTCCCCTTAGACGAAGAGGTACCTGAAACCCAAAACCGAAACCGTAAGCACAAAGCTTAGTGAGTTCCCCCATCATACCACATACCATACAATATCATCGGTATCTCTCAACCGGTAATCATCATCGGTATCTTTCAACCGGTAACCAACATCGGTATCTTTCAACCGGTCATCGTCATCGGTATCTTTCAACTGGTAACCATCATCGGTATCTTTCAACCGGTAAGCGTCATCGGTATCTTTCAACTGGTAACCATCATCGGTATCTTTCAACCGGTAAGCGTCATCGGTATCTTTCAACCGGTAACCATCATCGGTATCTTTCAACCGGTAACTGTCATCGGTATCTTTCAACCGGTAACTGGGGACTATTCCACCCCCTACCACTAGCATACAACATCAAGGTACAATCATACAGTCAGGCATATCCGGGTACTGACCTACCCCACGGCCCTAAGGGCCGCTGTCAGGGATCCTAATCCCTACTATACACGTAACATATCATGCAGATAATACTCGTGACCAAAGCACATAACCAAACCAAGATAATTATCACAAAGACAATCATCTTACAAATACTCCTCTTTGGTGCGCCGATATTGTGGCCTTAGACCCACCCCTACTGGAAGGTAACTCACCTCAATGTCGTGCAGTGTTTGAATTATCCTCGGCGCACAAGTCGACTCCCTTCGACTCCTCGATCCCTACACGACGACCATCAAGTCAACACAAAGCCAGTACAACCCTAAACAGGGTCAGTCCAAGTCTAGTCAAAGTCAACTTCAAGTTGGCCCGACTCGCCGAGTTGGGCCGTCAACTCGCCGAGTCCCTCACCCTTTACTCGTCCTTATCCATGACCCAACTCGTCGAGTTGGGCCGTCAACTCGACGAGTTCCTCCCTCACATGAACATCGCATGAAACTCATCCGACTCGCCGAGTTGATGAACAACTCGTCGAGTTCACCTTCATCTGATGAACAAGTTCTGTCCTTGACTCGCCGAGTTGATGAACAACTCGTCGAGTTCATCTTCATCCTTAAGAAGATTGCCTTGGACTCGCCAAGTCTGTTCTAGCACTCGTCGAGTCCCATGAACTCCAGGTCTAAAATCACGTCCAATACATTGGGTACTCTCCTGTCCGATTACAACCCTTCTAACACTCAACTGGGTTCCTTTGACTCTCAACAGATATGGGGCTCAAACTCGTCGAGTCCAAGAACGGACTCGCCGAGTCAGTCATGTCCACACTCTAAATCCTTTAATTCTGATGTACAACCTTTGATCAAAAGATAGATCCAAGCTTCTATAATCGATCTAGCACGTAAAGTTACAAACTTACGTGCTTGCATGGGACTTTGAGCTCAAAAAGACATAAAACAAGCTCTTAAGATGCATGGGGCCTTTCAGGGGTGCAAAAGCAGTCCCCAACTGCCTTGTGACTCCTTTAATGACGTGATTCAGAAGCTCTAACCCCTAACCATGTTTGCAATCATGGTTGGCCATCAAAAGTGGCTTATAAAAGCCCTAAATCTCCCCAAAAAGGGATCTAACAAATGAAAGAGCAAGGTTACAGCTTTTTACCTTCAATGAACTGTAGAAGGGGCACAAACTCGGGTTCCCTTGGTCTTTACTTGCTTCCTCAAGCCTTTCTCCTTCCTTCTTAAGACCACAAGCACCAAAATCCACCAACAAGGCTTAGATTGCTTCAATAACGGCTAGGGTTTCAATGAGAGGTGTTCTGGGAGCATAAGGGACGTTGTGGCCGACATAACATTGTTTAAATAGGGTGCAAACCCTCAGATTAGGGTTTTTGTCCAGTCAGAGTCTACTCGTCGAGTCCGGGACCCTACTCGACGAGTCCATCACTTAAATCCCGCGCCTCATCCCGCTTCTACTCGGCGAGTTGGTCCTTCAACTCGCCGAGTCCAAGGCCAAAAATGCAAAAATACTTAAATAAAAAATACATACCAAGAACCAGGTGCTACAAATCTCCCCCACTTATTTTAGACTTCGTACTCGAAGTCTGCTGCTCGGTCCTGGAACAGCTCTGGGTAATGCTCCATCATCTCATCCACCGGCTCCCAAGTCCATTCCGAGCCCTTCCGGTGCTGCCATTGCACCTTTACCAGCTCAACCCTCTTGTTCCTCAGATCCTTCGACTTCCGGTCAAGGATTGCTACAGGTCGCTCAATGTAATTCAGGCTGTCATCGACCTGAATATCCAACGACTGCATCTTGCCGTGTGGCCTCTGGTGCTCGGCCTTGACCTTCCTGCAGGTCAAGCACCGCTCCACGTACCATGCTACGTCCCGCTTCATGCAGGGCCACCAATAATTGGGACGAAGATCTCTATACATCTTCGTCGCTCCGGGATGGATAGAAAATCTGGATTTGTGTGCCTCCTCCATCAGGATCTGGCGCACGCCTCCATGATAAGGGACCCACACCCTATGGTGAAGAGTCAATAACCCTCGGCTATCATAGTCGAAGGAGGAAACATGCCCCACAATCCGATCGCTCTTCCGATGTTCCTCCTTCATGGTCTCCTGTTGGGCCTCCCGAATTCGCTCCAACATAAAGTAATGTTCTCACGTTCTCACATTAAATAGTGTTTTCATTTGAACTTAACCTATATATATATATATATATATATATATATATATATATATATACTATCTTATAAAAGAAATCTATATATTTCTAAAAATTGATTAAATATAATATTATTATTTTTTTAAGACGTCCAAACTATTAAGCTAAATATACAAGTAACCATCAATAAAATAATATTAAATTTTAACCACTTTTTTTAATCCTTATAAATATGATATTCTTCCCATAATTCAGGGTTCATTCAAAATTTGAAAGCTTTTTCATCCAAATACGCTTGAGCAAATATCTTAAATATCTTAAATTCTGCATATATTGACCCTGCTCTTCATCTTCACCCAATTGAATCGGATTGGCTCTTCATCTTCACCCAATTGAATCGGTCAATTCGAGATTCAGTGGGACCTACCGAACCATTTTTCCCTCACTTTCTCACATTATCGTTTGCAAGAACAAAAACTCTGGCATTTGTCACTGCATCCTACGTTGTCAGATCACTGCCGCCTCCATTTTTCTGATACCTCAAGCAATGAATCTCACTAAGAGTCTGGTACTTCCTTCTCATCTCTACCAAACCACCAATGCAACACCAACATCTCTTTCTTCTCTCTATCTTTCTATTACTCTATCAAAGAAACCCTAACTATGGAAATTCTGAGCAACCACCGTCTACGTTGTGTAATTTTGATTATACATTTAGAATATGAAGTTTTCCGATTTTGGTTTTAGTTTGATTTGTTTTCTTTTCCATTTATGTAGGTTTGTGAAACTGCTAAATTAATTTTCTTACTTTCCCTTTTAGTCGGATGGGAATCTGAACTCAAAGGTACTTCTTTCATTTTTTTTTTCATTTTTTTCATTTTTTTTTCATTTTTATGTTGATGATTAAAGCTATGTGTGGACAAATTTGTTTGTATGTATAAATATATGTATTACAATCTGATAAATTTGTATAGGCTACGTGTTTATGATGTATAAATATGTACAAATGTGTGTATGTCAATCTCATTAAAGCTATGTGTGTATGTATATTGGTATTTCTGTAATTTGGGCAAACTATCTTCGAACACCAACTAAATTTTGAAAATTAACTTACTTTCATGGATGTTGAAATTGTTCCAGTTATATATTTTAGAGTCAAATATGCACCTAAGGATTATGCTTCTGAATCAGTGAGTAGACATTTCTTGAAAATTTTCTTTCAAATATTCTTTAATCATATTCTTTTCTTGTCAATTTAATGTTTATGAATCTTATAGGAGTGGAAAGGTATGAAGTGTCAGTATTTAACTGACACCAAGAAAGTTCAGCATGAGCTTGCAAAACCTAATGTACTCAAGATGTAATTTTCAACTTAAGATGAGTTTTTGGTGTTTTGTGTTGTATTTAACATGTGGGGGCAGGTTTCTTGATAATAAATATGGCATAGCCAAGCTTCAGGCATGCTTTGCTGGATTATGAAGTTTTGATGATTCAAATTCATGCACAATCCAAAGACAAATTTCATACTCCATCGGTCTTATAGGTATATATCTTCATCATTTCTACTCATTTGCTTTTTTTTTCTGCAACCGTTTGTATATACATACTAAATTGTCCAGTATTCGCTCTCTGTTTCAAATAACATTCCAAATTCAACTATGTATTGAAGATGGTGATTCGAAACAGAGAAAGTGAGGCACATAGATGGCCTAATATGTGGGTCATGTAGATAGCAGACCTTGCTTACTGGTAATATTCCCTGGTTTTAGTTCTAATTTGTTTCGAGTTAATTTAATCATTTATAGGGAAGCATCAAAATCATCTTTATTTCTTGTGAATTTATATTTTATTTGATGGTGCAGGGTGTAAGGACCATCATTGGTTTTCATTGCAAAATTATATTTTAATGAGGTTTTATTATATAACTGTTTGTTGAAGTATTTTCTAAGGGCTACTTTGTTTTTACATTGTTTTTCTCACATTATTATAGATTTCGTGAGCAGATCTGTATATGTGATTAATGGATGGCACCCCAACATTCACATAGACACAAGTACTCCCACAAAGGTAATATTTTGTATTAAAAGGAAAAAAAATATAAGATTTTAAATACCTTTTATTTAGTTTTCTGAAATTAGGTTATGTACTTTTTCAGAAAAGAACAATATTGGTGTGGCGGTCGCACTTTGGGCTCCAATCTTCATTAAATTTCGTGAACACACAATTTCTTTAATATTTGTGTTATAATCTCTTTTTAGTAGGTGACGTGTAATTCTTATCTTTAAATTGTAATTTGAATTTCAATTGTTAATTCAAAAGCTAATGATTAAATTGAATTACAAGGGATTTCGATTGAAGTGGCTCTAGTTTCACACGGGAAGCTTGTAAGGAGGCTAATATCTATTATATTTCTTATTACCATAGCTTATGTAGGACAGATCACATGCCCATTACACATAATTGTTTCTGAAAACTTCCTATTGAGGTAAAGACTTGAAATAAGATGACACATCAAAATCTCTTTTTGAAGAAGATAAAGGGAAAAGGAACTTAGTGAGTAGTACAATGTTTTTATCAAGTAGGGGTGAATGGCCATGCATACGGATGGCAAGATCAAAGTCGTGTTTTTTGGTAAGGTTTGTCAAATACCAAGGTATTTGACAACCAATTGAGATATTCTTGAAATTGTTGCAAATAAGAGATCGACCATTGTATACTCAATGGTGTTGACTATTGACTTTTCCTTATTGTAGTTTACATCAAAAATTATGATTTTTATAAAGAAGTCTTTGTGGCCCACATAACTTTCTATTTAGTCCATCAACTGCAACAGGATAGTGAAAATGATAATGGAGTATAATTAGAGCTCTTAATTATCCATTTCAAGATGTGTAATTATGAAACTCTTACTGTGATGTTATATTTCGATTCAATAGGGAGAAGGGCACGTATCTTACAAAACATATCTTACAAAACAGATGCATGTTTCCTTGGAAACATATTGGTTTTATTTTTTGCTTAAAAAGAAGTAAAGCTATCCTTAAAAAGAGGATTAAATAAATACTTAATCAACGTTAGCTGTATATAAATGGAAAGAGAGAGCAAACAAACACTCCACCTCATAAGTTTGCTAGAATCATGGTTATTTACCTTTTTTGTTTTATGGTTATATTTTTACAAGTTATCGTTAAAAAAATCCTATTATTTTGACCAAGCTCATGGAAAAGTCATAACTTTTTTTTAATATAAAAGTTCTGATTATAATTTACACGATAATATGTAATTTTCTGTTAAAAAAAGCTAAAGACTTTTCTATTAATTTGGACAAAATATTTGATAATCTGGACTTTTTGTTTAAAAGATAAAAATTGGGACTTTTCCATATATTAGTGCAAAATATGGAACTTTTCTAACAATAACCCTATTTTTTACATTAAGTCAAGTATAGAGTAACATGTCTTAATGAGTTATTATGTTTGAATAAATAATTTTATTTTATGGGCTAACTAATTTTTCTATATCTGATTAGATGACTATTATACTCTTATATATAAAAGTAACGTATTAAAAAAAGACATAATTTAATAGTTTTTAGAAATATAGTTTTAAAACATGTTTAATGCCAAAATCATGAATGAATAATTTGTTGATACATTATTTGCTTTTTGAAATAAGAAGTTTTTAGAAAGAAAATTGTTCAACGCTACCAAACTACTAACCAAAAGAAAATAAGACATTTTCGGCAAAAACATTGCAAAAAAATGATTATTTTAATGTTTTTTCTTTTTTTGAACAAAATGATAACTTTAATGGTTATTATGTTACAGTTGTTTAGAGTTAACATATGAAGTGATTAATTGCAATTCGATAAGAAATGATGCATAAATAGATTAATCAACGTTTGGAACTTTGTTAATACTTAATGGTTTTTATGTTTTAATCTGATAGCCGCAAAGAAACTATTCACCTATATGAATTAATCATTGTCTGAACACTATTTGGCGCCGCCGCTTTGCGCGGGTACACGACTAGTATATATATATATATATATATATATATATATATACACACACACACACACACACACACACACACACACACACACACACACACACACACACACACACATTTATTTAAGGATTAATGTTGGACTCATGAAACCGTACAAACCGCACCTAAACCGCATAAATCGTTGCACCAAACCGCACCGTATAATGCAGTTTAGAGTTTTTGCGGTGCAATTTGCGGTTTCCAAAAATATCAAACCGCATATGCTGTGCGGTTTTGACTCTAAACCGCACCAAACTGTACCACGCACACCCTGCTTTCTTTAAACATTTAAAAACCCAAAAACAAAATAATAAATTAAAAAAGTAATTAAAAGCAAAAACTGATCAAGAGCACAAATAACTACATTGCAATTTCATTCCATCCAATTCCAAACAAACACGCAACCTAAGAGTTGAATGAGGTGACAATTTCATGTGTCATTTAATGGATGAAACTCCACCATTGTGAGATGGCACGTTGACATTCAACGAATTTGAAGTTTAATGTCTATTGAACTTTCAATGGGAAAAAGAAAAGTTTTTAATTTTTAAATATTTACTATAAATTACATTTTGTAATAATCTATTGAACTTGTAGAGTTCAATGCATTGTAGGAAATTATAGAAAAAAGTGATAGAGTTGTATAGATTATAGAAAAATGATGTGACAATCTATTGAATTTTATGGAGTTCAAAGCATTGTAGATGCCCTAAATGAGATGTATATGTGTTCACAAACCATAGTAGATTTGTCTTCCCAACTCTAAAATCAATAACAATCAATTATAGACATACATTAATCTACTAGGGATAAAAGTATAATAAAATAGTATTAGTTTTCAACTCTGAACCCGATACGATTACTCTTTTTCTTCTTCTTGTCCATTGTCATAGTGTTGGCATAACAGTTGTAGTCCATTTCTGGCCTGTTGATCATAGTCAGCCTCTGATTGCTTGTTCCAGAAACACAACAACTTCATGGTCAAATACTTGGGAACATCAACTCTATTATCCGACACTGTTTTTGTTTTTGTTTTCGATTTTTTAAAGTACCGGAAGGTTGGGCTATGATCAGAAACTTGTTGAGAAACCTTCCTCCTCTTTTGAAAGATGGATTTTATAACCTCCTCTTCAAGCTTTTCCTCCTGCTGTACCATAGGAGTTGATAGTTGCTGCAAAGCTTCAAGCATTGCATCTACACTCACACTTGCATGTCTTGACTTCAGTGACTTCATTTCCTCAAGTCCAGAAAGAATCTCCATCTGCCTTTTATTCTCCAAGGACTTGGTGCATGGTTGCTTCTTCTCAACAGGCTCAAAATTTCTATCGGCTCCAGACTCCACAAAATAATCTGAGTTTTGTGGGTCTGTCTTTATCGTAATCTCGGCTGAGCACTTGGAGCACTTGAAATACAACCTGAATATCTTGATCCCAAGATACGTCTCTCCCTTGACTTCTTCTTTACGCGAGTTGAACTTGGTGCCTCTGGACATGTAGTTCCCACAATTCTTGCACTGAATGCTCATCGGAAGCATCATTCTAACCTTTATTTGTTGATTAATCGGCATTCTCCTTCTCGGAATCGTCGCCGGATCAAAATCAGCCGGATAGTATTTATTCAAAACCTTTCTCTCTGCCATCTCTATATATCTCTTTCTGAGGCGAAGGACAGCAGCCACTACGGAGAACCAAGAAGATATTGAAGGTTTCTCTACGGCGTGGGAAGACAGCGACGATCGATAACCAAAACTTGGAACTGACTCACTGAAGCGAGGGTTGAAACTTGAGAGCCAAGGTTTGTATGCGGCAGTAAATATATAAGAAAAAAGTTTGGTTTGTGCAACACGCAAATTTGTAAAAGGTAAGGTCAAATATAAATTGTAAATCCATTTTCTCCGTACTAAAATCATTGGGCTTAATCAAAATTCAAAAATCGTATATCACTAAAATCATAGGGCTTAATCAAAATTCAAAAATCGTATATCTATCCGTTTTTACTCCATTTAATTAAGCAAAAGTTTTTTTTTTTCTTATATCTAGAATTTATTCATTTTTCATAAAAGTAATATATTGACTAAGTTACTGTTCTTGTGTTAATTTTATAAAAGGAAAATCAAGACCTTTTCTCCTAAATTACACGAATGGTCCTTCTTGTTTGTGATATTCTTGTTTGTGATAATATGTGTATTTGGTTACTAACTTTTTTATCCCAATCAACATGAAAAATACTATTTACCCTTAAGAAATTAATTTAAATTAATTTATTATAGGTTTATTATTTATAATATTAAAAAATCAATATATGCCCCCACCTCTGTCTCCCTTATCATGTGGTGTTTTTTTTTTTTTCAAAATATGTTTTTAACCTTTTTATAGGAAGGACCAACCTTTTAATCGAAACCGTTTGTTTTGAAGAAAATTACAAACCTAAAAAGGTTTGAACGTCCTCTTCTTATAATATAAATATAAAATCACTTCTAAATTTGGCAGACATTTTCTAAAATTAAAAAAACACACCTCTAATCCTTTCACTCATCACAAATTTAGCTTCTACACACCACCTCGCCAGCCTTTCCTCCACATTCGCCGACGACACATCACGCCTCCGCCACCATCGGTTGTTAAGCCTCCACTAACAACTCCTCCAAATGAATGATCAGTCTTCTTGGATTGCTTTAATAATCTTCTTGATTCCATTGCTTCATTAATATTCTCTTCTCTCCCATCTCATCCTCTCTATTGGCATCCCTCTTTTCTCCCATCTCATATGTCATCTCTTTTTATCCCCTCTCGTTTTAGATGGTCCTGTTGGATTTTTATTTAAAAATAGTTTCAAAAACTCAAGATAATAGCAACAGAAGACTTGAAATTTCAAAATAAACATAAACAAATTTACACCCACCAAGGATCATCTTGTAAGAAATAGAAAGAAAAACAACAACCATAGAAGTTATAAGAAAATAACAACCTGTGTAGTTCTTTGGTTCGTCAAGGGGATGTATGCAAGTTGTGGAAGAATATGGATAAAATCATTTCCTTAGTGGACGCCGATAAGAAGCCAACTTGAAGAAGTTGTTAGTCTTGTAAAATCTTAAGCTTTGAGTCAAACCTAAGTATGAGTCAAAGAGAGCAAAAATAACTAACCAAAACTCTAACAGCTCATGCAAGAGAGGAATGAAAGAGTGAGGAAGAGTGTCTACAGTTTTGAGCATGCAAGAGTGAATGAATGAAAGCCTTATCTAAGTCTTTAAGCTAATCTTATTAACCGTAAGGTCTTAGCACTTTAAGACCTACCATGTCCCTAGTCACCCATACTCCATCATGCGGTCCAAGCATGCTTTCAAGAGGCATTTTTTTGATTAAACAAATCAAAAGGCCATCCCCTCTCCTCTAACATGTCTACGATTTTTAGAAGGAAAAAGAAAGCAAACTTTGCAAATTTTCGGTCCGGGCTAGTTTGTAAAACCTCTCTAAACTCTTTTATAAAATATAAACCTTAACTTTTTAGTAAAAGACAAAAAAAAATATTTCTAGTGTAAAATGTTGTATATGACTTAATAAATCATACCATGTGATATATATATATATATATATATATATATATATATATATATATATATATATATATATTATGTTACTTGCCACTGAAAATTCTTATTTCCATGAAATAATAATTTCCAATTAATTATAAGAGTTTATGAGTATTTATTAAAATCAATTTCTAATAAATAATCAATTGCATCAAGTTGTTATTAGTGTGACTCTTTAGGATCATAGTAATATCATTCTAATATGACTCCTGAGCGTATATAGATATTGCAGGTGTACTCCTAAGAACTTCAGATCCATATTTGTAAACATACTTTTGTGAGCAACCGGATACACCCAACCTTCCGGTCTACTACCATTAATACCCTATCGTTGATAATTTTGCCTAATAGTTCTTTGTTTTAGGGTCGAGTAACACATTGTTGTAGATGATATTGTAGCCATGGATATCGAGGTGTAATCGAGCTGAGTCAAGTCGAGTATTACCAAGCTCGAAACTCAACTCGACTAAAAAACTTGAGCTCAACTCAAGCCTCAATTTCAAACTCAAACTCGAACTTGATAAAGTAATCGATAGTTTCGAGTTTGGCTCGACTCGACTCGACTCGATTAGTTATTAAAATAATAAAATTACATTAAACTGAAATAGAAATACAACTAAGATCATGAGCTCGATTCAACTCGGCTCGATTACGTAAATATAATAAACTAAAGGGTAAAAATATAAATATCACAGAGAAACAATGATACATACTTGGAAATTAATTTCACTTATATATGCATGGAAATTAACCACACTATTTGCAAGAATAATGAAGCAATAATGGTGGGTCGACAATGTGGTCGAAATCGTCGACCGATCGCCAAGGGGGTCGAAATTGCCGAAAGCTCTGAACCTGGTTTTTAGGGTGAATTTTGAAAAAAAATACTATTATTTAAATAATTTATAAATAGAAATTGATGATGAAAGTTGTTGATATTTAAATAAATATTAGAAGGAACAAAAGTGTGGTGGAAACATTTTTGTGAAAAACGCCTAACATTGATGGTTTGACTAGCATTTGACCATTTAAATGAAATAACTTGGGGAGGAGGGACAAAGGATGTAAACTGTAGAGTTACTTTCTAGTCATGTTTTAGACAAGGATCGATGTCAGTGAATCTTGAAGCTTGTTGATGGACCTTAACAATCCATGAATTATCTGCTTCGACCTATATACAACCCGTGGATAGAGAAATCATTTAGGACAAAAATACCCTCATATGCAACACATGTGTTGCCCTTTAACGGTTCAGTTTAGACGGTTTAGTGGGTTGGACCAATATTGAAAAATTTAGAAACCACATAAACGAAATTGATACAAATAAAAAACTTGGACTAAAATTATGATATCCATTATTAAACCAAAGAAACCAAAGAGAACATTTTTTAAATTTAGTCATGTGAAAATGAAATTTTTTATGTTTGAGAATGGTTTACAAAATGAAAATTATTTAAAAAAACCGTCATATCTTGGCTGTTTGCAAACAATGCAGATCGCCACCTCTAGTTTAAATTATTTAATAGTTACACATAATCTCATAGACAAAGACAAAATGTTGTGATATTTTTTGAGAAATGGAGAAGTAGAAGGACTAGAAAATAAATAAAAAATGAAAGTGGACCAGATGCTGACCATTGTCCTCTTAATTCAACAGTCACCACCTCCTCTCTCTCCCTGCCTTAATTTCATTAGTTTTCCAACTGAAAACAAGGGTTTTGCAGACACGATGGATACGGAGAAGGAGCGAGATCGCCATGTTTACATCGCTAGAATTGCAGAGCAAGCCGAGAGATACGACGGTAATTATATTTACGTTCTTCCTTACTCTGCTATTTGCTTCATATAACCCCATGATTTTCAGTTTTGCTGGTAATTTCACAATGGAAAACCAGCGGATTTTTCTAGTTTTGGTTTCGAGGTGATTGTTAGTCGATTCAAATTGCAAATCCGTGTGTTCGTTCGTAGTTTTCGTTTTCGTGCTTTATGATCACTTTTAACCTCTTGTACCTCCATTTTTTATGAAGATTCCTTGGGGCTTTTTCATCAGATTCGAATTTTACGCATCTGTGAACTTAATTCACTGTTGATTTCCATGTTTCTGTACTATAACGATCACAAATCGAGAATTATGCACCTTCTAATTTCGGTTCCGTTTGAGTTGCGGCTCGATTCTGTATATCAGAACAATGCTGATTACATATCTACATCGATGTTTTGTTTGAATTCGCTCATATAGCCACATTGATTCTAATATAATCGTATCTATTTTTACACTAGATGAAAGTTATTTACACATTTTTTTCAAAAGCCTGTGTATATGAGTAGATGAGAACCAAAAGTTGATCGACATTGATGTTGAACACTTTCTGAAATTTCCTTGTTTATTGGCTCAGAGATGGTTGAAGCAATGAAATCCATTGCAAAACTGGATGTGGAACTGACTTTGGAGGAAAGAAACTTGTTGTCTGTTGGATACAAAAATGTGATTGGATCAAGAAGAGTTGCATGGAGGATACTATCATCTATTGAGAACAGGGAAGAGGGCAAAGGCCATGAACAAAATGTGAAAAAGATAAAGGATTACATGAAGAAAGTGGAAGATGAACTTGCAGTTATATGCAATGACATACTTGCAACAATTGATCACCATTTGCTTCCATCAACAAAATCTGGAGAATCTGCTGTCTTCTATCATAAAATGTATGTTTCTTTTGAATATCACATATACTTTGCTAAATGACCTTTGTGATTTTATTTTAAAAAAAAGTTTAATATCATCAGGAAGGGTGATTACTTTCGTTACTTGGCTGAATTTAAAATAAGTGGAGATCATAAGGAGGTTAAAGATCAGTCTCTGAAAGCTTATGAGGTTATTTCATTTCTTCCCATTACTTTCATTTTATTTATTCATTGTACTTTAAAAATAAAATGTTATAATAAATAAATTAATGAAAGTATGTTGCTATTTCTTGAAGGCTGCAACAGCTATTGCTGCATCTGACCTGGCACCTACTCATCCAATTAGACTTGGTTTGGCTTTGAATTTCTCAGTTTTCTACTATGAGATATTAAACTCCCCTGAAAGGTTTAATCAATCTGTCATTAGTGATTAGTCATTTACCAATTTCTATTATAAATACAATTTTATTTAACAAATTATTTTTAAACCAATCAGGGCATGCCACATGGCCAAACAAGCATTTGATGAAGCTATATCTGAACTTGACAACATAGATGAAGAATCTTACAAGGACAGCACTCTGATTTTGCAACTGATTAAGGATAATCTCACTCTTTGGACCTCAAATATTTCAGAGGAGGGAGGTAAACCAAAAAAAAAAATTATATATTTTTTTATATAAATTTTTATAAATTTCTCACTTTTTATAATTTTTCACAGGAGCTGGTGAACCTCAAGGGAGATAAGAATTAACATCCGTTTGAGCAAATAAAGCAACTTTATGGTTCATTTGTTTTTTTTTTTTTTTTTTTTTTTTAAATCCATGTTATGAAATTTCAATGTCTCAAGATTGTTATGTTAGATTTTTGTTGAATCTTTGGTATATACTTATAGCCTGTGTGTTTGTCACTCAGTTTCAGTTCGATGCATGCTAAACACAGTAAAAAAATTAAAAAACACACTCAGTTCCAGTTCAATACATGGTAAACACAGTAAAGTCAGTCTTGTACTGTGTAACAAATATGGTTGTCTATTGTCTAATCATTATATTCTACTTCTAGCGAGATAAATAATAGTTTTTCACTTGATAATAATAAATACTTTTGGATTAATTTCGAGTTACAAGAGTTAAAAAAGTTCAAAACTTTGAAGGATTGGAGGGTGGAGACCCCGTGTATCTGGTCAGTTTGCTCATGTTTTTACTGTGGGGGTACGTTGGTAAAATTAGCATGGCCGTTGGCGGCGGTTGTGGTGGTGGTGGCGGCGGCGGTTGTGGTGGTGGTGGTTGGTGGTGGTGGAAGAGGGGGGATTTGAGGGAGTAGGAAGGATTTTAGGTGTTTGTAAAATTCTTTAGGTTTTTCTACAATGTAAGCATGCCCTGTATTCTTTATCACCACCATATCTGCATTATCACCTAAATGCCTGCATTTTTTATAGAATATAATATATATTAGTCATTTCTTTCTCTCATTTGACTTCAAAAGTCAAACACACACTGAAAGTCAAACCTTTTTAATCTATAACCCAACTCCAAGGGAAAAACTTGATCTTTATCGCCCCATATTATCATTGTTGGCTGGGGTATTTTGGGAATTTCGGAAATTTTACGGTCTTTGCATAGAGCATGAATCAGCTCCTTTTTCTCCTCTACGTGTTCTTTGTTCATCTCCTATATATATATATATATATATATATTATATATATATATAATAGATATATATATATATATATATATATATACACAACAATTTATGTTATATTTGATATGGTCTTATAGCCTTTTTCACATAAGATTTTTCACAAAATAGTCATTGTTTTTTTCACTTTCCACAAACAACTATAAATTTAACTGTGAGGTGCCAAACATATCAATTGTTATTATATGACACTTGTTATACATCAAATAAGGTTGAAATATCGGCAATTAATGTAAGGAGTTTAATTTAATTTAATTTTGTTTAAGGAGAATTCTAAAATAATAATTAAAAAGTGACCATTTTGTTATGAGGTTGAGATCAAAAGAAGAAAAGTATGGTGCACCATACTCTATTATCACTATTTAGTATGTAAATTGTAAGGAATCATAAATGTAGCATTTAACTCTCTTTTTTCAATTATATACCATCTTTATCTATAGTTTTTATATAAATTCGATTTTTGCATAAATTCATTACATAATGGAAAAAAACATATTTGGTATTTTGTGGCTAATAGCTCTTATTCTTCAGCGAAAGTATATGTTTTTTCCAAAACATGCAATGAAAATGACGTTGTATTATCAATTTATGTAAACATGTTCCATTATGTTGCCAAATATTACCAATTTTTACATATATCTTAATTGAAAAGAAAACCATGTTATTGTTTAAACTTGACAAAAAAAAAAAAAAAAAAAAAAAGAAGAAGAAGAAGAAGTTCAAAACTGAAACGTAAATTGGAGATAAGTCTACCACGTTGAATAAATGAGACATAGGCCAAAGGAGTTGAAAGACGTCTAAAATATATTCAAATATCTGAGTATTGTTTTGATTATATATAAACTATATAATCATATTGTATATATTAACTACTTATAATTATAATATTGAGAAAAAAATACAAAAAAAAAAAAACCCACCATAGGCATTTCCAAGTACTTTGTATATGGTCGTGCTTAACTGATAATTAAATAATATATATTTTCTGAGTAAAATTGTTGCATTATTTTGGCTAAAATAGTTATTAGTAAGATTTTTAGTTATTTATTAAAAAATTAGTTAAAAAAACACATAATTATACGAGGAATGAATGGAAGTGAAAAGCAGTGTGGAAATAGCGAAAACTTACGTCGATGAAGTCTACAAGTATACAGTTGGGAGTCTTCACCGGCGGCTTCACAAAAGTAAACCGCATCAACTCCTTCATCTTCTCCGGCGTCTGCGGCAGCAATATATCCGCCGCCTCCTCCAAAGTCTTCACCGGAAACAACCCTTCCGCCAAATCCTTCTCCTCCAAACACACTCCGGCACAACATATCACCACCCTCTCCACCGCCTCCTTAAACTCCGCCGCCAGACTATAGGCCACAAACCCACCGTAACTCAGCCCCACCACCCTCATTCTCTTCACCGAGTTCGCCTCCATGACTCGGTACACACACTGAGCCTGAAACGACTCAGATCGTTCCCGGCGAGTCGTATACGAGTCGCCGAAGAACACCAAATCCGGCACGTAGACATTGAAGTGGCGAACGAATCGAGGGATGATATCCGGCCCCCACTGCCACATGGCGTTAGCTCCCAATCCATGGAGCAATAGCAAATCGGGTCGGGTTTCTTTTCGGGTTTTGGGTACCCAGCAATGAATGGTGGTGCCGTCGCCGAGGTCGGTGACGGTTGATCGGAGACCGGAGCTGGAGAAGGTCGATCGGAGGCACCAGTTTCTGGAGGCCGTGATACTAAAGCATTTTGTCGTCATGGCTGAAAGGATTACACAGAGTTGAGGTGTTTTGAGTGTGTGTATTTAACTACTTTATGTTAAATAAACAGAAAAAGTAGGTCAAATTGATTGATGTTTTTTAAATCATATTCTGCATGGTATTTATTATTTTTAAAATATCTTTGACTGAAATGGTACTAATTTTACTGACATAACATGCATACTACAGCTAAATAATATTAATGATGCAATCATCAAAAAATATGTATTGAATTAAATAAATATTATCTATATGTATTTATCAGTTATAGTGTATAACTGTATATGTTTATTAAGTCAATATTTAAAGTGTGTGGGATCAATGCATCCACATATTACATAGCCATTGCCATTGCCAATTGTCATCATGTAGGCCTCGACCAAAGTGATAAATTAAATTGATACATAAAGTTCATAAATTAATATATAAAAATTTTAAATAATGAAATATAGTATGTTATAGATTTTTAGAAGTTATTTTTATTTAAATTATATGAAGTATTTTTATATTTATATTTAAATATTTTATAGGTGTTATTATTATTATTATTATTATTATTTTGAATGACAACCCATTATAATAATTGAAACTTATGTGATTTGATGGTGAGTTTTAAAATGTTTTATACTAACTATTAAAATATTAAGTAAATTAACCATATTTTAATCAAATATTAAAAAGATAGGTAATTGTATTTTGAAAAATGACGAATATCCTTGGAATGGATCGCCTCAGATTAAAAAGTTTTTGTTTTGGCAAAAAAACAAATTATGGTCTGTAATTTTGGATTTCGAAAAAAAATATGATATTTCAAATAAAGTATGAAATCTAAAGAACAGTTATGTAATTTCGGAAAATACATTTTTTTTGTTAAAATCTACCAAAAAGTTAAGAAACATAATAAAAGAGAAGTTTATATGATACAAGAGTTTAAGAGTTTTTAAAATTAGATTTTCATTTGAAAAATGGTGATAAACACTTCAAAATTAAATTTTTAGATATGAATTGATTGAGTTTTTTGAAAATGAAACGAAATCCGACTTTTAATGGTTGCATAAGTTTTTTCAAAAATTTCAGATGTAGTTGTGTCAAATGAATATGTAATGGACAAGTATTTATTGGAGTAAAATTGAAAAAAAAATTACAAAAAAGTTACAATTTCTTGATGTAGAGGAGCATGGTTTAGTTCACTGGGACACCCACCACACGGGCATCACTCATGTGGGAGTGGTGTTCACGTTTACGAAGGACTTCCGCATCAACAAATAACTTAATCTGTAAAGGGGATGTCATAGAATCATGTCATATCCAAATCTGTTTGGAGAATGCTTAAAAATTTGAACATGTGAAGAACAACTGTTTAGTCTAATTTGACAATGTTTCTAACGGGCAAAACATGAAAACTTAGATTATATTCTAAACATCGATTGTTGTTCAGAAGTTGTTTTTTCTGTTCGGTTCTTAAAACAATTTATGATAATTCACATGTTATAATCTACAAGTTCCTACAAAAAGATTTTAATATTTATTTTGTCAACAAGAATTGGTTACAGATGTAATTCTCTTTATTTCGAACAAGTTAAATATTTTCATCAGATTCTAATGTTGAAACAATTAAGAACAATAAAAACAATAGCAAAAAGAACATAAGTGTTATGAGTTAAAACAAAAAGGTTGGTTTAAATGGAAACAAAAAATTGAGTTTCAGAAGAATAAAATAACATTATCATGGATCAAATCACATATATTGAAATTGTTTCTAATCCTGAAGACATAAAAAATTGAAATTGGATTCCAAAAAAATTGTCACATCTAAGGGTTTTTTTCGGGGAAAAAATTGAAGGTTTTTTCGAAAAATTGTCTAAACCGGAAATTAGTTGTTAAAATATCAATCAAAGTGCACATCGGGTTCAAGCTTTTTAATTTACAGGGCAAACTCAGCCCTCATAAAGATTTTCAGAGAAAAATTCTCCACATGTGACACCACAAAAGGAGGGAATAGTCCCAACATTTATCATCCAACAAATTTAAACGAATATTCTGGAACTCAAGCTGAACACACGTTATAATTTCATTCAAGTCAAAAAGCAAACGACTTACTATTCACAGAAAATTTTGGTCTCCCTTTATCTTGTTGGTGAAAATCTTTCTTTATCTAGTCTGTACGAGTGATGATCACACAAATCAGGTGGCATGTGCATTGAATTGATGTCATTTATCTTTTTGTGTAAGAATTTATCTTGAATAATAATGCGATTCCAAAGTTGTTGATCTATTTTAAACTCTTTTTGTGAGTTATTTTTAAATGGCTCTACTTATGAAGCCATTTAGA